CATTGATTAATTGTAACCTCTAATTGCGTATTTTATTAAATTTTTAAGGGCTTCGTTAGGTTCTTTTAATTTTAGTATCCTATATAGTTCAACAAAAATGAATTGTAATTTTATGCAATTTACAGAAATCTAAAAGCAAAGACGTTTTAAATTACGAACCATTATCACACGTTATTTGTTGAGGTAGTGATGACTTAATAAGAGTCATTAAACCGTCTAAGATAGCAATTGTGCGTATCGTGAAAATATAATTGTAAGAAGTTTTACCTTACATATCTGAAAAGTTTTAGATTTTTGGATCTGAGATTTTTGAATTATTTTTTTATTTTTTGTTTATTTTATTTTATTTTTAACAACAGGTTTTCGTCGGGGTTTATCTTTACTACGTTTCGCTGTTTTGTCAGTTGCGTAAACCTTTGTATTTAGTTTCATTCCAGGTGTGTTTCCTCGTTTTTCGTTTTGTTTTTTATTTAAACTTATTTTGTCGCTAACGATGTTTCCTAAATTGGTTGATAAATAGTTTTTAATCTTTCACGTCTATCTGCAATAAATTATTTCCAATGATTTCATCCGTTAAATCGAAAGGATCTAAACCGTGTACTTTTCCATTTATGACATCAAAGAGTTTTTGCTTCGTTACGCTCTGCATTGATTAATTGTAACCTCTAATTGCGTATTTTATTAAATTTTTAAGGGCTTCGTTAGGTTCTTTTAATTTTAGTATCCTATATAGTTCAACAAAAATGAATTGTAATTTTATGCAATTTACAGAAATCTAAAAGCAAAGACGTTTTAAATTACGAACCATTATCACACGTTATTTGTTGAGGTAGTGATGACTTAATAAGAGTCGTTAAACCGTCTAAGATAGCAATTGTGCGTATCGTGAAAATATAATTGTAAGAAGTTTTACCTTACATATCTGAAAAGTGTCCATATGAATGGATTCTAATGGTGTCAACGCAAATTTTAATTTTGGTGGATGTCTATCATATTTTGTTTGTGGGCACATGTCACAATTAGTAATATATTCAGTTAGTTCAGTTTTTACTCTTCTGAAATTAAATGTTCGCAACGAATTATTTTGGAAATGTCGCATTTGCTACATTGCTCCTTATGTTTTCGTAAAATATGTTCTAAAATAAAAAGTTCAAAATTTTCTTTATCAAAATCCGGAAAAGTTAAAACATTTAGAGGTTGTGGGAAATTTAACTTTATATTTTACTCAATGTTCAATGACTTCTGTTTGCGCAAAACCGTTTTTTGCAGTAGTAAGTGTTTATGGAAAATAGAGACACTTTCTATGACTTGGGAATAATAATATAATTGTTTTGTGTTACTGGAATTCTTATGTTAACAATTTCGTATGCGTTTACAGTAATACCTTTGTTTTGTGGTTGTCTAAATAAAATTGGTATATTAGTTTTATTATTTCTTAATTGTTTATTGACAAGATCGATAGAAAAATTTAAACGTTTTAGGTCGTTTGATCCTATTATACCGTCGAAAATTTTATGAAAGTCAAAAAGAATAAAAGATGGTTGATATTAGCTTTTAAATCTGGGAAAGCCAGAATATCTGCTTTAAATAGAGTTTTCTTGTCACCAGTTCCTGTTTTTATAACAGTTGAAAAACGATACATTTTTTCATAATAAAATTTTTCTGCAATGAAAGGTCGAAGAATCGAGCGAAAACAACCTGTATCAATTAAAAGTTTAATTGCGGGCTCTGTAGTGTGGATATACGGTAAACTGTTATTAATTTCAGTACACATTTCTAATATCATCTCGTTGAGTCGTATTGACTCGTTATTGTAAAATTTTGAGAGATTTGATTTTCGATTTCTGGGTGTCTGTCAAAGTTTTCAGTGTCATTAAAGTATTCAATTTTATTTGAAAATTCAATATTTTTACAGTATCCCTTTTGGTTAATACTTTTATTTTCAAGTACCGCAGATGTTTCATTTGTTTGCACCACGTTAATTTCGTCGATTTTCGAAGTAGGTGTAAAATGATTAATTTGATTATTTTGACGTGGTATGGTATAGTTTGTTCTCGTTGACATAGGTTCGAGTTTATTGCTCGGTACCTGCCCTGTCGGTTTAAATACGTTTTTAGGTAGGCCAAAAGCTTGCCTATTTGTAGGAAAATTTCTTGAAACTTCGCGTGGTTGAGGCATATTGATCTCTGGGAAAATTATTAGTTTGAGGAGTAAACTGATTTTGATCATGTCTAATTCTAAAATTTTTGAAAATAATTTGTGGGGCGAATAGGTTGTACTTGTTTAAAATTTTGACTACTAAAATAATTTGGATTTTGTGAAACTTGTTTAGCGGGTTCGATAGAAGCATTAGGCAAAATTTTTGATTTAATTCGAGTTCAGAAGAAATTTTGTGTATATTGAAAATTTTGCTCTTCAATGAATTGGGGCATAACTAATTCTATACAGCTTGGATTTTTAAGTCTTATAATATTTTGTAACTGTCCTGGTAATCCTCTAATAAAGGTCACTAAACAAATTTGATCGTACTGAAGTAAATGAATACTTCTTAAAACTTGTAATCTTTTCCCAAAATCTATAGGATGTTTATTTTTAACGGTAATTGCCATAAATAATTCTTGTTGCAAACATTCCAAGTTTCGTATATCGCCAAAACAACTTAACAAAACTGCTTTAATATTTTCCCACGTTACTAACTCCCACAGCCCACTGTAATTTGTGCGCGATCAACAAGTTTCATTCTTATAGTCCTTATTAAATATTGTTTTAAAATTTCATTGTTTCCTTGGCCATATGTATAAAAAAAAACAATTTAAAGTGTTGGGATCACCATTTTATGGCAGAATACTGACGATTGATAAGAATTCAGTTTTAAATTGATTTGACTATTTTCTTCTTTCTTTTCGACCAAATTTAACGAGGTAAAGAACGCACTTAAGTTGTCGACGTCTTTATTTTCATTCGAAAATTTAATTGATTTTAAGATTTCTTAACATTAGCTTAAAACTAAGAATCCTAAAATTATTTACACTGTCCTAACCAGGGAAGATAAAAAGAGAACAATAGGAATTTTGGGCACTAACCTTGATTTCTTTCTCTTAGTCGTCAGCCTGTTATTCCTATTGGAATCTTCCTTGCGTAGCGCTGCTTGCGAAGGTGATTTCCTGTCTTCTTTGCCCTCAGTGAATCACTGGTTTGTTTTGGGTTGAAACCCACGTTTCGCGATCAAATCGTCCCGATGACGTGGTTTTGACCGAAAATTACCCCAAAGCTACCGACTGCGCCAGTCAAAGGACATGTCTCGTTTTTAAAACACTTTTTTATTATTTTACAAACAGAGCTTTACATTAAGCCGTTACAAAGAGAATTGAAATACAAAGTACATTGTACACATATTTATAACTTATTCTTATGCGAACGTCGCGTCGCAGTTACTGGGAATGCTGAAGCTGGCATTTCTTATAATCATCAGCATATTCTATCACATAATTTGTTGCATATTATACTTTTTCTATGACCCTTAGTTTTTGGGTGCATTGACAAACATCAAAATTCAAGCCGTGCGGTGAAATCTCCGAAGTCATCCGATTGCTGCCAAACTCGTGCGGTGATGTCTTGGAAATGTCCGAAGGGGCTCAATTTTTTCGGAATATCAGACACACAGTGAAAGCCGCGTCTCAATATCTTTATCCTAGCCAAAAGTATGAGTAAAAGAAATGAATGTTGTGATACCTGATTATCGTGAATATACCAAATAAAACTCCAAGTTATTGGTAAACTGAACTAAAATAACTGAACAGAAATGAAACTGACGTCGTAAAATGATACCGTCCGCACACCAGGTCGGTGTATAATTGGGTATATTAGAGGAAGGAAATAAAAAAATATTTAAAATAAAGATAAAATATCGTTATTTATCTTTCTCACTGTTTGACAGTACATTCGAAGGACATTAAATTAGCTGACATATCTACGTTTTATTCTTTTAAAATAGTTTCAGATATTCAGTATTGTAGCGTGTTACTACATTAGAAAATAGGATTTGTCAACCAACTAAAACTAACAAATTCTTGAAGATTAACCTGTTTCATTAATTATTCAATTATTTAAGTAGTAAAATATGTATTGACATATTCAGTATTTTTCTTTGTTCATAACATTTAGTTTAAATGAGACAATTTTAATGCGCAAATATTTATAAAATAGTTAATGAAAATAGTTAGTCTTCAATAATAGGTTAGTGACCAAGTTAGTGATTAAATGTAAATTTTAATGAAAAAATAAGTGATAATAGTAAATATTTGAAAACAGCTACTGGGTAATCCGATGCCCTTCAACGGAATTGTAAAAAAAATGTTAAACATAAACAATAACATTTTATTTTAGTTTGGCATTCTAAATAATAAATTAGCGTTTTATTTGGTAAATTCGAGCCAATTAGATATTAATAAAAATCCGTACTGTGGAAATTGCTTCGAAAAAAAGCAAAATAAATAAGAATTAAAAGTTCAGATGTTCACGAAATTATACATTTTTACATGACAATTGTTTCGACAACATCGTGTCCTTATCATTTGATATAATTTCGTGAAAATCTGAACTTTTAGTTCTTATTTATTTTGATATAAGGATTTTCATCAAGTAAAGACCATCTCAGTTCAATTTTCCAAAAAAAGCGTTAAGTTTTCTTCTTATTTTAAGTTGCGGGATAGAAATATTTAGGCGTGGTTTTTATTGGGCCATTGAGCTTTAATATGAATATCGTGGTATTTACTTTTTCCTCTTAGCAACTCCAAAAACTCGAAAAATATTCCAGCATTTTCTTTGGATCGATTTATTTTATATGTATGTTTTTCAGTTTCTAGAACTATTCCATTTCCTAATATAGTACTTTGTCGCCCTTACAAAAACACCCTGTATAATAAATAACGACCAAAAAAGGACAGCAGATGAAAAAATATAGTTGTATTCTCTTTTAATTCTTTTTAATACCATTTTAGTTCGTACGCGCACCGCAAAAGAGGCAAGAGGAGTATAGCGCTCACTGCCCTTACTTTGTTGTCGTTCTTGTTCTTCTTGCATATTCTGCAAACCTGCATCCAAGAGCAGACAGACATGATGAATCCGCAGGTGATTGTAATGCAAGCTCGGATAAGAGAAGCGCAGCGGAGAAATGCGGAAGCCAAGAAAAGAATCGGAGAAAACCAACCGCAGCGAGTATTTTATAACACGTCTCTAGCAGGGGAAGAATCTGAACACTACAGTGAAATGTATTCTCCGTATACCTATAATCCAGAGAGTTTAAACCTTTAATTATAAATAATATTACTCATATAAGGCTGGTATACAGGGTAACCGAAACTAGATTTATCAGAAATATTTATAATTTTTATTTGCGGCTATATGGTCTCTATTTTAAAAATATCTAGGACAGTGCAGCGTTGCCGCATCTTTTGGAATCACACACCAACTTCAATTTTTTACATTTACAGCGCCATATATTCTTATATTACATTCTAGGGAAAATTCTAAAACTTGATTGATTGATGTATTTTGGAGATAAAAATACTTTTTGAAAAGATTTGGTGAAGAACATCCGTCATGAAAAGAATTATATATCTTTCAACAAAATTAGATAAAAATCTGCTTGATGCTTACTGTTAGAAGAATATACCGAGTGTGAATGAAATTTCTAGCCAAGTGATAACTCTGTCAAAAACCATTAATAAATTTCAAATTTATAGATGTTTTATATGGCAGTTTCATGATTGTGTTCAGCCACTGCTGATGAGTTTATTTATATTTATTGTGTATTATAATTTTGTTAAAAAAGAATCCTGTTGAAAAATGTTCTTTTTTCTCGTGTTCGAAATATTTTTGTTTGAAGTGTTCAAAAAAGTGAAAATAGAGTAATCGCTAGACTAATAATTTCGTGGACACCCGGAATAATATATTGTAATTCCTAGAGTGTATTCCTGTTTGATTGGCGAAAATTCGGTATTTAAATTCAATATATATATATATATATATATATATATATATATATATATATATATATATATATATATATATATATATATATATATTCTCACCATTTGATTTCATTGGTTGTCGCCATCGTCCCACCCAAATATTTCGGGGGCTCATCAGCTACGCGTATATTCATAGGAAAACGTTGAAATTGTTCAAAGCATGCACCTGTAGAGGGCGCCTTATGTAATACATATTTTTCGAATCTTGCTAAGCCCGCACTAAATATACTTAGTACATATTATTTGCATCTTCTTTAGCCCTTCTAAATATACAAAATACAAAATATTCGCATCTTGTTTAGCCTTTTTTCCGGTAATATACAGTTTACATTATACGCTTTTTGAATGTTTTAAAGCCCCTCCTAAAACATACGCAGTGCACAGTATTTGCACCTTGTTTAGCCTATTAATTTTAATACAATTTGCCTAATTATCTACTTCGTTAATATAAATGTCATAGACATAATGCATATTTAGACTTTTCGTGCCTAGGCATTTTACAAAAAGCCGTCAAAACTAAAATATATTGAGTACATAGTATTCGCACTTTGTGATTAATTTTAATAAATTCCTCCTAATCGCTGACTTCCTTAATTTAATTAGAAAATTTAAAAAGCAATTTGATTAAGATTGTCCCATGTTCTGAATTAACCATAATAACTCCATGTCCTACTTAAGTGCTCTAACGGGTGATAAAAGATGAAATTAGAGGAGTAATGTAACAAACAAAACAAACATCTCGAAAAAACCTTATTTCTAAAATATCAAAATCATTAGTATGGCGCTTTCACTTTAAATCAAATTTCTTTCTAAAAATATCAGACAACTTTTTCCAATAAATGAAATATTCTTCCTAAAATATCCTATACCTAAAAAACTAAACTTTAAATTGTTGTAAAAAGTTGTTATTTAAGTAATAAATGGAAATTCCTAACAAACTATTTGAATTAGTTTGTCGTTTTTTTTTAAGTTGACACTCATCCAGTGACTGCCTATTTTTAGCAATTGTATATGTATGACTTAATTTGTATCCACTTTTTATTTTAAAATTGCTTAGATTGTTTCTTCATAAATTCTTGCACTTCATGTTTTCTGGGCGCTTTCTTAGACTTAATAATATGTTCTTCGAAAGCAGTCCTTATCAGCTCTTTTTGTTTTTGGGTCCATCCAACATTCTTTTCTATACACTTCGCATTTTTTTTCTTGCTTGTTTTATCTTGAGAAACAGAAACAGAAAAAACAAAAAAAATATCGATAGTTCGCACATCATAAAAGAAATACCTAGTCTAAGAGCCAATGGGCCACTAGGTATCACGTGCGTGCAGCATAATGATTAGAGAAATATTTCTTGGTGAAAATTCATTTTGCAAGTTAAATAATTACACATGATTTTCAGAAAAAATTTAATTATTTTAATTATTTTAATTAATTTAATTAATTTAAATAATTTAATTAATAATAATGTTAATACTGTTTCGACAAGACTGTGTCTTTATCAAATACCTGTGTAAAACCATGGCGTTTTCGAAACAGTTGTCATACAATTATGTTTTTATTTAACCTGATTACTTACCAATTTCTTTTATTTTTTCCGGCACTGATTTCTTCTTGATCGACACGTTGGTGTGGTTACTTAATACTAAATCTGAATATTGTACTTGTTAGTTGGGTAATAACAACCGAAGAACTATACAAATATAAAAACGACTATGTATTATGTACATGGATAATGCGAATGACATTGGTACAAATATCTATAAAAAATATGATTCATCAGCGAGAATGTAATTTTAATTTTCGAATACCCCAGACGTAATAGATAATGAAAATATTCCATGATATGTTCGTTCGTTCGTACTATTTCAGAATATTTCTCTTCGTGATCTCTTAATTTTGCTTTTTTATAATTCCTTTTAATTTTTACTCGTTCCATATCATCTGCAAATATCTGCAAAAGTTTTTCCAGCATTGTCATTAAATTGGGCTAAACTTTTCGAGGTAACTAGTAAATCTGAGGCAACACTGGCGCCATATTCTGGCGTCTTTAATTCAATTAATAAACTTTCTGTTGGGGTGTACTTTGATGCTGTTGCTACTAAGGAATTAGATACAGGTCTCTTCTCCACTTCATATATAATATCCGTGTTTTCAGTTCGCTGGCTATTTTCGTTTCCTGTGTATTTTTCTCTAAATTCTTTCTCTGTCTGTTTCTCAGTCTTTTCCTGTTTCCTCATGGTTCGTTTCCTGTGCATTATTCCTCCCATTAATACTTCGACATTGATAACCAGTACCGTTCAATTGCCCACTGTGTGATACGGTAATATGCTACTCCAGTTCCAGTTTTTCGTCACGTAGTGTATTATCTGTTAACCATTTTTGAGATTTTTCAACTCCCAATAACCTTCTTTATTTTTCCTGTATGTGCATGCGTTCGTACGATGTTGTACCCTTTGTAGTTTCATATTTTGGAAGATCTAATAACTTTTTATTGGTTGTCATGACCATGCCCAAAATCACTTTTGTTCTCCAGTTGTTCATTTGAAATATTTTACTTATCTAACGAAAATCAGATACGACACGAATACCGCAATATTTCGAAAAAAAAAATACGTAAAAAATTAAAACCAGATGGTTTCAGAATTTGTTATAACAAATTAACTAAAATCTGACCTACAGCGATCAATATCTAGATGCTCCTGCAAATTTAGTTCAAAACTATGTACCACACCTAGAAATTTTAGAATATAATTTTGTATACCTCTAATAACCTGTTAACATCACATGCTTCTTACATTTCTTAATATCAAATACCCTAGCCCAAATATTACGTATCAAATGACAAAGCTACTGTATATTATGTATAATTCCATTCCAAAAATTTTACAGTTTATAAGGGTGTATGGAAATTTTTCCAATACGGAATCGTTTCCCCAATGTAAAAAACGCTAAAACTAATAAAATTATGTTGTTTTATATTCTTGTTTTTTTTTAATTCTAAATTACTTTCCCTAATGAGATTTGGAATAAAAATTTTCAGTGCAAATTTTATATTTTTATGACCAACGTACTATTTAACTTAAAGCCACTTAAAATAACTATAGAATATGCAATTAATAAACAATTTTCCCATATGTTGCACACCTAAGTGACCACGCTATATGGAACTAAAAATTTCCTTCATTTTTCCGAAAAGTTATTTTCTTTTGCTTGAACAATTTTTAATAGATTTTTTTCATGAAGCAAATAATTTTAAATGTTCCGATGACCTGGTTATTACAGTTTTAAATTTGTAGTAGTGAGCAATTTAGTATTTTGCTTTTCATTTATTTAGTAGACTTCAAAATTGATTTAAGACATAGAGAAAGTACATCTTGAATTTAACTATTCACTTCTCTTGCCATATGTCATAAAATACAAAATATCTTAACTTACTTAAATATCTTAATAACCCTATTATATTTTATTTGAAAAATCCGGTACCAAAATAAAGAACAGCTAGTTGTCAACATTTGAACTTCTTCATTCACTTCTACTAACTTCTTCACTTCATGGACATCCTACGCAAGTTAATAAATTTTCGTTTTCATTCAAAAATTTATTGAAGCCTTTATTCATCCCCTAATTTCAAAACGTGACTATTAGAAATGGTTTATAATTTTCACATTATTGCCATTTAAAAATGTAGTATCGCATCACTGCTGCGAGAAAAAGTGCCAAGTGTTACTTTAAATTAGCCATAATTGAAACCTTTCTTCTTTCACAAAAAACAAAAACACAAAAATTGCACCATTAGTTGTAATTGGTGTAAGACCAAATTGTCTTATAACATTTAACATTTTATTGTTAGAGCCACTATAATAAATTATATTGTACTTACCTCGATAAAAACGACCAGTTACAAACACAGCGAAATCATCACAGAAAATGCGCTACCACACGTAATTTTCAGACAATTATGTCTATAAATAGAAATAGGGCTCTTCAGCGAATGTTTCATTTCTTTTACCCTGTATCTTGACTTGGGCTTTACAGAGATGCATATATGAAATCTAGGGTAGGGTTAAACAACGATATATATTTATGTATATATATATATATATATATATATATATATATATATATATATATATATATATATATATATATATATATATATATATATATATATATATATATATATATATATATATATATATATATATATATATATATATATATATATATATATATATATATATATATATATATATATATATATATATATATATATATATATATATATATATATATATATATATATATATATATATATATATATATATAT